CCTTTCTGTTTTCACACATCGTGCTGATTCCCACCTCCACCTCACCTTTACCTTTGCCATTGTCGCCATTCTGAATGCCCAGTCATTTAACTCAAACCCAACGCTTTCTCCCAAGTCTAACCTCTTCCATGAGATTTTACCTAACTGCTCCAGCTTCTTCTCCTTTCTGAATAATATATATATACATATATGTGTGTGTATATGTATATGTGTGCGCATATGTATTCAAATTAATGTCCTTTAAAAGAAACTGCAGCCAAAACTGATGTGGGCTCAACAATTAAAAAACAAACTGTGTGACAGTAAAGCTGGGTCCTTAAAATACTCAACATAAATTAGCACTTGGTTATATTCTCTGATTCTTTACTAAGAATGTTGTCCCCAACTAGAGCAGAAACTTCTGGAGATGAAGGACTGTTTTCTATTTCTTTTGTATCTGACAACACTTGGCATAGAGTGAAGTGCCATCATATGCACTCAATAAATGTGATGGAGGGTTTTGATCATTGCTACAGAGGAGAGAAGATAAAGGAAGGGGGTGAAGGCAGCTAGGTGGCTCAGTGGAGAGAGCTCTGGGCCTGGAGGCAGGAAGGTCTGATTTCAGATCCAGCCTCACACACTTATGATCTGTGCAACTCTGGACAAATCACTGAACCTCTGTCTGCCTTAGTTTCCTCATCTGTAAAATGGGGATGATAATAATAGTGCCTACCTCACAGGGTTGTTGTGGGGATCAAAGGAGATAATAATTGTAGACTGCTTAGCATAGTGCCTAGCCAGTTGTAAGTAATATATAAATATTAGTTATTTTTATGAATGGCCCTGGTGTGATTTGCAAGAAAAAAGATCATTCTTGACCTTGTTCCCCCTTTTCCCAATCCTTAATCAGTGGAGCTAGCTAAAGGTTCACATCAACAAGCATTTATTAAGTACCTACTGTGTGCCAGGGACTGTATTGGGTTCTAGGGACACAAAGACTGAAGCAAAATCATCCCTGACCTCAAGGAGCTTACATATGAAATAAAGCAGTCATTTCAAGAGGGAGTGCAAGAACTTGTTGGGCTTGGGCTCCTTTAAGAGGTGTTCTTTGAAAGAAAGCAAGGATTCTGAGGTGGAGGTGAAAAGTAAGAGCATTTCTATTTGTTAAAAATATCTTTTTCTCCACAATTAGATGGATAATTATACCAGTGAATTCATGCAGAACAGATTGTTGTTGTTCAGTCATTTTCAGTCATGTCTGACTTTTCATTGCCACATTTAGGGTTTTCTTGGCAGAGATACTGGAGTGGTTTGCCATTTCCTTCTCCAGCTCATTTTACAGACGAGGAAACTGAGGTAAATAGGGTTAAATGACTTGTCCAGCGTCATACAGCTAGTGTCTGAGGCCAGAGTCAGGAAGGAGTCTTCCCGACTCCAGGACCAGCACTCTATCCACTGGGTCACCTAGCTGCCCCTACAACACAGATGCAGTGAGAGAAACACAGCCAATTCAACTCATGGATCACACGCAAGAACATTGTATTTGTGGTCTTGTTTTCAGGTTCAATTTTGTTTTACTCCTTCCAATGTAGCCAATCAGAACATACCTCAACCTTCTTATCCCAGGTGAATTTTTTCTAATTTCCACCCCCCCCAGTGGCATTCATTTACAGCATTCACCCAATAGGTTGGAGACCTTCCTTTACCTCTTACATACAGAATCTGAACCCATAAAGGAACCAACCAGGATATGATAAAGCACTACATCATGGGACGAATGCAGTAAATACACAGAAAGGTAGAGAAGGGAGAGGCTAATGGGCTGAAATTGTCAGAGAAAGCTAAATGCAGAAAGTAGCATAGCATTGAAGAATGAATATGGAGTTATGGGTGATAGGATTTTAGATGTGGAGAAACAGCATGAGCAAAAGAACAGAGGAGGTAATATGGCTGGTAGAGGAGAGAGATTGAAACATGATTGGCCTGATTGAAGTGGAAGATTCATGGTGGAGAGTACTGGAGATGTAACAGTATATAGATGAAGTGTAGTTAGATTTGGGAGGGTTTTGAGAGTCAAGAATAAATGAGTTTAGACAGGAAGCAATATATAAAAAGGAACTATCAGTATTTGAGCCATGGAGTAATGTGGTGAAAAACCGATTAAGAAAAAAAAAATATTCAAATAGAAGTGGATTAGGATAGGTAAGATTCAAGAGAGACCAGAGGCATAGCAGTGCAGGCAGGAGATTATGAGATATGGCCTCTTTTGTTAGCAGTAGATATAGAGAAGGAGGGACAGTTCTAAAACACTGCAAAAGATGAATTGAGAAGATTTAAAATGAGGGTTTAGCCAAATGATACCAAGAAAATTGCATTTTACAGTTGAGCTTCCATGATAGCCCTGGTAAATATTTGAATGCAATAATAACAATAATAATAGTGCCTTACCTGCCCTTGAACTTTTCAAAGTATTTTCAAATTTATGATCTCAATGAAGTCAATGTAAGGCTCAGGGCTTAGATAGGGAATAGAAAATCCATGAAGAGTTTTTTCTTCAAAATATAAGACCCTCAAATAACACAGAATATATCACATTAATTTAGGTATAATAAAGAGAAAACTATGTCCCTCATAAATAATTACATAATGGCATTCTTATTAATATGGTACTATATAAATACATACATTATAAAAGCACACTTTATAAATGCATGCATTGTTGCATGTATTAGTGATCATTAATTTTTAATAATATTTTGTTTTCCTCAATTACATGTTAAAATAATTTTTTATATTTTTTTTCAAGTTTTGAGTTCCAAATTCTATCTCTCCCCCCTCTCTGAGACAGCAAGTAATCCAATATAGGTTAATCTTTTTAAAAATCTCATTATATTGCCCTTTGCTCAGACCCCATCTAGACTATTGTGTCTAGTTTGGAGCCCAACATTTTAGGAAGAACAATGAGCATTTGGAGAACATCTAGCAGAGGTCACCCAAAATGGTGAAAGGACTAGAGATCATGCCAGGCAGCTCTGTCGAAGCAACAACATACCACACTGAAAAATGTGCAGGATTCTGGGAAAGAGGACCTTGATTCAGGCCTTGGTCCCATCACTCAATGCCTTTGTGACTTTGGGCAAGTCATTTAACTTCTTGGAACTTCAGTTTCATCAGTGAAAAGAGAGTTGAACTAGATGGTGCCTAAGGTCCCTTCCAGCCCTAAATTTATCATTCCATGAACCAGACATATTTATCCTGGAGAAGACAAGATTTGAGGAGTACATGCTTTCTGACTTCTACTATTTGGAGGGCTGTCATATAAAAAAGATTAAACTATCTTGCATAACCCAAGAGGACAGCACTGGAAACAAAGAAGGGCCAGATTTCACTTCAATTTAAGGGGATTTTTTTTTTATTAATCTGAGTTGGAGATGGAGCTCAGAGGCTAAAATATTCCACTTAGAGGCAGGAGGACCTTGAGATTCAATTCTCCATCAGATATTTAATAATGGTGTGACCCTGGATAAGTCACTTCCATTTTCTGAGGCTCAGTTTTCTCATCTATAAAATGGAAATAATAATAGCACCTCCTTCTAGGGTTTTTGTGATGCTCAAATGAGACAATGGATGTAAGACACTTCCCAAACCTTCAAATGTTATATAAATGTGAATTGTTCTTATTCTTTTGTTGATATTTGATATTGTTGTTGTTATTGGTATAGCTTTCTAAAATGTATATGGACTGCCTGGGTAGATCAGGTATTCCCAGGCAGAAGATGTCTTCAAGTGGGGACTGAATCTAGGTATGCTTTAGAAGAGCTTGGAACATTACATACCCATGCTCCCTTCTGCTTTTCAGAACTTTCTTCTACTTTTTCAAGGTTCCTCAAAGCCTGTTGTTTTCTTTGGTTTTGTGACTGACTTTTTCCACATTTCATTTGAATGAAATGAACAAGAATGAAAGTCAAAAATATCAGTGTGTGTGTGTGTGTGTGTGTGTGTGTGTGTGTGTGTGTGTGTGTGTACATATGTGCTTATGTACTTGGTTTGGTAATAGGCCAGAATGTTAAACACAAGTGGACTCCCAGGACCAAAAGACACCATAAATGTGTAACAATCGTTTATAGCAAGCCAAAGAAGAATGAAAAGAGAGGAGGGAATGTGAGAAATCTCTGAGAATTCCATAGGAGTGGTTGTGAGAAAAATGTGATGTGAGAGATATATCTGAGGAGGTAGGCCCTTTGTGTATGACCAAGGAATCACGGTTGGTGGACCATTCACATGGCCGGCCTACTCCTACCCAAATGTTGTCAAGGGAATTAGAGAAAGGTTACTACCTCCCAGCCCCAGCTTCCCTTGGTTAAACACCTCTGGGAGATTTATGAGAAGACAAATGTGTGATGACTGGAGAATAACAAGGCATGGATGAGTTGATATCTACATGAATGAATGAATTAATGAACAAACAAATCGAGCATTTATTAAGCATTTACTACATATAATACACTGGGATTATAAATAGTAAGGTAAGATCTAGTCCTTGTTCTCAAGGCAAGACTACCCACACCCAGGAGATCACAGATCCATTGAATTAACAAAGTAGCCATTGTAACATTCACAACTCTCTTGACTTGCACACTTCTGTATTTAGTCTGTGCCAAATTTCCTCAAGAGGTTTAATGCATAGAAAGCTCTTTTGGAGTCCAGAAGGCCTGGGTTCAAGTTTTGGCATTGACACACAATAGCTACATGACCTTGGACAAGGTATATAGGACAAGGTCTCCCCACTCCTTCCAACTATCTAGGAACCTAGGTTTCAGAAGAGTTACTGATCTGTATTGGTGGAGGGAGTTGTAACTCTAGGATGGCCTTATACTGAAATCACTTGTCTAGAACAACAATAAAACAAAATACAACTACTCTCAAACCAGAACTGTCCCTTACCTATCACTTTGTTAGATCAATGTAACTAGTCTTAGTAAAAATTGATGTATTTCAAAGAAAGTTATTCATTTTTTCAGTCTGCTTCAAGATGGAAGGGGATGTGACTATGGAACAAATTGGGTATGCTATTCTGCACAGATGGACACTAAGTTCATTGGAAAATGATAAAGATGAAGAGAAGCAGGAGAAGGGCCTCACCATCTCCTCTCCATGACATGCTAGTAGGATTGGTTCAATATCACAACTTCATTCTTCCCTCCAGCATTGTGTGGTAAATGTTTATTTTATTTGAAGTTCGTGGTAGGTTGGTTTCTTTTTTTGGAGGTGGGGGAGGTTAGCAGTGGTAAATTTCCTTCAGATACCTGGAGAAATGTTAGGTTCTCTCAAAATGAAGATAGAGAATCACAAGTTGGAGCCAGAATATCTCTGTTAAAAACACTATGTTTGACTTAAGTTTTCATGAAGAAAACAGACCTTTTTGATAAGTCTCACCTAAAGCTGGATGTTCAATGACTCCATGATGAAAGTTGAATATCCTTCCCCCAACTTGTGTGTTTCAATCTATCATCTTTGTAAAGTGGCAAGAACAGTGGCTTTATGGTCAGAAGACCAGGGTTCAAATCTTGCCTTTGTCATTTCCTAGCTTGGGTAAATCACTAAAATTCTTGGGGTCTCAATTTCCTCACCTATGAAAATGAAATGATTGGACCAGATGGCCTCTAAGGTTCCTTCCAGTTCTAAATCTATGATCTCATTTTTAAGTTTGATACCTTTGATTCCTTGATTACTACTAAATCAAAATCCTTCTTGTTCTTTTCTCCTTATTTTCTTCTCTAGTTGTTCTGTCATCTAAGTCAGAGTAGCTAGTGGAAGCCTGCTGTCTTTCATATATGCTTCTCCAATATTTATTCATCTCTTCTGCATTCCAGATCCAGTATTCCTTACTACTAAAGAAATGCATAAGACTGGGGCAGCTAGGTGGGGCAGTGGATAGAGCACCAGCCCTGAAGTCAGGAGGACCTGAGTTCAAATCCAGCCTTAGACCAAACATTTGACATGTACTAACTGTGTGACCTTGGGCAAGTCACTTAACCCCGATTGCCTCACAAAAAAAAAAGAAAGAAATGCATAAGACCATAGGAATCTGTAGCATGTCAAACTTTTCAACTTCTTTTTGACTTAGAAATTATCTATGGCAAGGGAAAGTAAACCTTGACTGGTCCTTCCAAGCTAAAAAGCTTTGCTTATTCCTGGAAAGAGTTGCATGAACTGATACAAAGTGAAGTGAGCAGAACCAGGAGAATATTGTACATAGTAACAACAATATCGGACAATGAAGAATTGTGAATGACTTAGCTATTATCAGCAATACAATGATCCAAGACAAGCTCAGGGGACTAATGATGAAAAATGCTATCCGCCTCCAGAGAAAGAACTGATGTTGTCTGAATACAGACTAAAGCATCCTTCCTTCCTTCCTTCCTTCCTTCCTTCCTTCCTTCCTTCCTTCCTTCTTTCCTTCCTTCCTTCCTTCCTTCTTTCCTTCTTTGTTTTCTTTATTTTATTTCTTCTTTCCTTCTTTTCCTTTTTGTTTGAGTCTTCTTGCACAAAATATGGAAAAGTTTTACATGATTGCACACAAATATAACCTATATCAGACTGCTTACTCTTACAGGGAAAGGAGAAGGGAAGGAGAGAGGAGCGAATTTCAGAAATCAAAACTTAAAAAAAAAGTTAAAATTATTTTTACATCATGTAATTTGGGGAAAAATCAAAATACTATTTTTTATTAATAAATTTATTTATTTTTAGTTTTCAACATTTACATCCACAAGATTTTGAGTTCCAAATTTTCACCCCATCTCAGCCCTCCCCCCACCCCAAGATGGCATGCATTCTGAATACCCCTTCCCCTAGTCTGCTTTCCCTGCTATCTCTCCCCTCTTTCTCTTATCCCATTCCCCTTCTCTTTTCCTGTAGGGCAGGATAGATTTCTGTACCCCATTTCCTATATTTCTTATTTCCCAGTTGCATGTGAAAACATTTTTTTTAAACATTTGTTTTTAAAACTTTGGGTTCCAAATTTTCTTCCTTCCTCCCTCCCCACCCACCTTCATTGAAAAGGCAAGCAACTCAATATAGCATATACATGTGCAGTTATGCAAAACACTTCCATAGTAGACATGCTGTGAAAAACTAACTCTAGTTCCCTTAATCCTATCCTGCCCCCCCATTTATTCTATTCTTTCTTTTGACTCTGTACCTCCTCAGAAGTATTTGCTTCTGATTACCCCCTTTCCCAATCTGCCCTCCTCTCTATCATCCCCTACTCTCTTGTCCCCTTCCCCCCCTATTTTCCCGTAGGGTAAGACAGATTTCCATACCTAATTGACTGTGTATGTTACTCCCTCATTAAGTCAAATCCTATGAGAATAAGATTCACTCAATCCCTCTCACCTTCCCCCATTTCCCCTGCACTGTAAGAGTCTTTTCTTTTCTGTTTTTTTTTGTGAGATAATTTACCCCATTCTATCTCTCCCTTTCTCCTTGTCCTAGTATAATCCTCTCTCACCCCTTAATTTTATTCTCCAGCTATGACACCTTCATCTTCAACTCACCCTGTGCTCTCTATCTATCTATCTATCCATCTATATCTATATCTATCTATATATATATATATATATACATACATATAATTTTTCCCTCCAACTACCCTAATACTGACAAAGGTCTCATGAGTTACAAATATCATCTTTCCATGCAGGAATGTAAACAGTTCAACCTTAATAAGTCTCTTATGTTTTCTCTTTCCTATTTACCTCTTCATGTTCCACTTGAGTCTTGTATTTGAAAGTCAAATTTTCTATTCAGCTCTGGTCTTTTCATCAAGAATGCTTGAAAGTCCTCTATTTCACTGAATGACCATTTTTTCCCCTGAAGGATTATACTCAGTTTTGCCAGGTAGGTGATTCTTGGTTCTAATCCTAGTTCCTTTGCCCTCTGGAATATTATATTACATGCCCTGTGGTCCCTTAATGTAGAAGTTACTAAATCTTGGGTTATTCTGATTGTGTTTCCACAATACTTGAAATGTTTCTTTCTGGCTGCTTGCAATATTTTCTCCTTAACCTGGGAACTCTGGAATTTGGCTACAATATTCCTAGGAGTTTTCCTTTGGGGATCTGTTTCAGGAGGAGATCGGTGGATTCTTTCAATTTCTATTTTGCCCTCTGGTTCTAGAATATCAGGACAGTTTTCCTTGATAATTTCTTGAAAGATGATGTTCAGGCTCTTTTTTTGATCATGGCTTTCAGATAGTCCAATAATTTTTAAGTTCTGTCTCCTGGATCGATTTTCCAGGTCAGTTGTTTTTCCAATGAGATATTTCACATTGTTTTCTAATTTTTCATTCTTTTGGATTTGTGTTATAGTGTCTTGATTTCTCATAAAGTCACTAGCTTCCAATTGCTTTATTCTAATTTTTAAGGAAGTATTTTCTTCAGTAATCTTTTGGACTTCCTTTTCCATTTGGCTAATTTTGCTTTTTAGGGCATTCTTCTCCTCATTGGCTTTTTGGACCTCTTTTGCCATTTGGGTTAGGCTATTTTTTAAGGTGTTATTTTCTTCAGTATTTTTTTGTGTGTCTCCTTTAGCAAGCTGTTGACTTGTTTTTCATAATTTTCTTGCATCACTCCCATTTCTCTTCCCAGTTTTTCCTCTACTTCTCTTACTTGCTTCTCAAAATCCCTTTTGAGCTCTTCCAAGGCCTGGGACTGATTTGTATTTTTCTTGGAGACTTTGGATGTAGGAGCTTTGACTTTGTTGTCTTCTTCTGGTTGTAGTTTTGATCTTCTTTGTCACCAAAATAAGATAATATAGTCTGACTCTTTTTGCACTGCTTACTTATGGTCCCAACCAATTACTTGAGTTTTAAACTCTTTGTTAAGGTAAGAGTCTGCTTCCAATGTGGAGAATGTACTGTCCCAGGCTTCAGGGGTTTGTACAGCTGTTTTCCGAGGTACTTCTAGGTACCTGTAAATTTTCAGTTCTTCCAGGGTGGTATGAAAAGGGGCGAGGTGTTTCCTCTCCACCACCACAACAAGCTCCACCAAGTCGGTGCTCCTCCTTGCCCCAGGACTGCCCTTCAGAACTGTGATCCAGATCCAAGCACCAGTAAAGCAAGAGATTCCTGCCTCAGCACTGGTAAAGAGATCCCTGCAATCCCCCTCTGATCAGCCACTCAATTCCCCCTCAGTCTGTGGGCCAAGAGCTCAGGAGGCAGCTCTGCCCCACAGGCCATGCTCTGGACTTGCGGCTGAGACCTAGGTCCTTCTCTCACTGCAGTCACAGACTTTTCCCACTGACCTTCCAAGTTGTCTTTGGAGTTTGTGGGTTGAGAAGTCTGGAAACTGCCACAGCTACCTGAGATTCAGGGTCACTGCAGCCTGCACGCCCACACCAAACTGCGCTCCCCTCCCCGCCCAGCACGATATACCTTTCTGATCAATCACCCAGGTTGTCTTGGGCTGGAAATTTGTTTTGCTCTGTCTTTCTGTGGGTTCTGCTGCTTTAGAATTTGTTTAGAGCCATTTTTTACAGATATTTGGTGGGGTTTGGGGGAGAGTTCAATGAAGTCACTGCTTTCACTCTGCCGTCTTGGCTCCGCCCCCCCCCAAAATATTTTTTAAAATGATGGTTTCCTGACCACAAAAAAAAAAAACTTTTGATATGGTTCTGTTGATGGAATATATGTATGTGGTCCAAGTACCAACTTCACTAAATTCAAGGAAATTGATCAACTAAATTGGCCATAGGGGGATGTCTTTTTTAGTACCAGTAACTCTTGAAGACCATCTAAATCATATCAGTGTTGGTGAAAGGAGTTGATTAAATCATACATTTGTGAAAGATTGAAATTTAACCTTCAGCCAAGTTAAAAAGTATTTGTTAAGTGCTTATTATTTGCTGGGCACTATGCTAAGCACTGGAATTACAAAGAAAAGCAAAAACATCCAGGAACTTCATTCAAGTCAGCATCCTATCAGGTTGAGATGAAATCTATAGTGGCCCCAATCATTCTTGCATGATGAGATCTGTAGCTCCCCCCCAAGTCTCCTCTTCCCTGCTTCCTGGAAACTGGAACCCATGGATCCTTGTATTCATTATGGCTAGGCCTTTTTTATTAGTACCTTTTATTTTTTTTTTAGGCAATTGGGGTTAAGTGACTTGGCCAGGGTCACACAGCTAGTTAAGTGTCAAGTGTTTGGTCTAAGGCCGTATTTGAACTCAGGACCTCCTGACTTCAGGGCTGGTGCTCTGTCCACTGCGCTATTAGTATCTTTTAGAAAAGCACAAAGAACTATATACTAAATTCTCATCTCCTGAAACTTATTCAAAGCAAAAATTCCAGAATATCCATCAACTGTGTTTCAGGAGCAAATGCCCTCCCTGGTTTATTTACTCCAGCCCTGGTGGTAGCTCCTGACTGATGGTCAGTGCTGCTGAATTAAAGATGGTTCCAGGTGATAAAGTTGGGTTGCACAATCACTTAGGGACAATGAAATTCCATTACACAGAAAAGACAAAGGCAAATAAATTCAAGCTGACTCCTTGATTTTTACTTACAAGTGGCCAAGAAACAGTCTCACCTCCTCAGTCTAATACAGGTGGTTGGTTCATTTGGAGAAGAAGTTTCCTTCCCTGATGAACCTGGCAAAACCTTCCCAGTTATGGCTGTGTCCAGAACCCAACAGGAGGACAAATTGATAGCTGTGCCATGATCTTTCATTTCAGTGCCATGCTGTGCCCAAGAATTGCATTTGGGCCTGTGTCACAAAGATGAAGTAGAGCAGCCTTGTGTGTGTGTGTGTGCATGCAATAGTGTGTGTGTGTGTGTGTGTGTGTGTTTGTATGTGTGTGTTGTTATTTTTTTTAATGGATCAGTTTCCTGGCCTGATTGTTTTGTTATGCAATTTATAACAAACTATCTGGAAAAGAGAAGGCCTAATACATTGTAAAAGGAAAAAAGAGAGCATAGTTCCCAGAAAAGGAAAATGCCACTAATTTCTGCACAGATTCAATAGAAAAAGAAGCAAAATCCTCCCAAGATGCCCTGCAGATTACAGTTTACTAGTCACCCAAATTAGATGGATCCCATTGGCTTCTCTGCTAAAAGCTAGACAGGGAGACTTTCTGAGCTGTTGGTGATGGGTCACACTAATCCCTAATAAGGTCAACATTACTAATACTCTTCCTCATATTCCCTAGCCCCAAGTAACCTGACAACATAGTTGCATGAGCAATTCAACTAGGTAGTGCAAAGTCTTGCCAAAGAAGAGGTTATGTTTATTGCTTCATGAGTTCTGGATTTTTCTTTTCTCCTAGGAATCTGCTTTTGAAGTCAAAATTACTAGCAGGTCATCCTGGATTTACATGTATTCTTCTGGCTCAAAGCTACCTTCAATTAGTCAATCAATCAACAAGAATTTCTTAAGCTTCCTATATGTTAGCCACTGTCCTGAGTTCTGGAGCTATTTTAAAAAGGTAAAAAATAAAAATAAAAAAAATAAAAACCAAAAAAAAAGTCCCTGCCTTCAAGGAGCTCACGGTGTAATGGGAGACATCACATGTGCAAACCCATGTATATGCAAGAGATATAAAAAGTAGATTCAAGATGACCTTAAAGGAGAAGATTGTAGCATCTTGGGGTGGGGTAGACTGAGGGAAGGAAAAGCCTCTGCTAAAAGGTGGGTTCTGATGTGTTACTTCAAGTATCCAGAAAGAAGAGAAGTTGTGTAAGCTCTCGGGCCAAAGTCTTTGTTTTCCAACTTCCTCCTCTATTTTATTTTGTATTTGTATTTGTATTGTGCTGTAGTGTATTGTATTGTTTTGTGTTGCATTGAGAGTTGCATTGCATGTCATTGTATTGCGTTGCCTTGTATTGTATTATATCATATTGCATTGCATCGTATTGTATTGTATTGTATTGTACCTTTCTTCTCTGTATGTATCTGTATTTCATTTGCATTTTGGTTTTTTCATTAGAATGTAGTCTCCTTTAAGGCAGGGACTCTTTTTGTGTTTTTGTCTTTCTTTATATCTCTACCTTAGCATGATATCTGGTACATAACAGTCATATCATAAATTCTTACTGATTTATTTGATATGATTCCTTTATTTTATACTTTTACATGTAGTTGTATTTCAAAAAATTTATTTCCTTAAGTCTTCCCATTTTTATGTCACACTCATTGGTTCCCTTACACCCACCCACCCAGCAAGTCATCCTCATAATGGAAGAAAGGGAGGAAGGAAGGGAGGAAAGAAAGAAAGAAGGAAGAATGGATGAAAAGGAGAGAGGGATTGAAGGGGAATAAAAGGAAGGGAAGAGTTAAGAAGAAAAAATGAAAAGAAAAGGAAAAAAGCAGTTCAGCAAAATTAACCAATATATTTCAACCAATTCCAACTATATAGTAAATGTTCCACACCCATAGTCCTTCATTCCTCCTCCATTTTCTTTGAATCCAGATGCCCTAAAGAATCTACTAGATTTTTAATCCTTTTAGCCTTTTTATTCTCACTAATTGTGAATTCACACATTGGCCTTATGTGCTCTTCATGTTTGAGCCCACTTCCCCCAAAGACCTTATATGTTCAAGAAAAAAGCACACCCCTAGATTTGGGGGATGTTTTATGACAATTGCCCATGCTATACCTTCTCAGTAAATATGTTTTTTTATAAAAGCTAATGGATGTCAACTGGTTGGTTGATATTGGGGAGCATATTACATGGGGACTCATGAGTAACAGTACTAGAAATTTCTAGTCAACCAAGCTTTAGAAACCTAGAACACCAATTTCAGTGGGAGTTGGAGAAGTAGTTCCAGATAGTAATTACAGACCAACAGAGAGTAGATTGATACACTTTAAATGTATTTCATAATTACTTATTTCTTCCCCTGTGGAATGTAAGCTCTTTGAAAGAAAGAACTTTGTCTCATCTAAATGTTATATCTCTCCAATGCCTTGCTAATAATATGCAGTAGGAGCTTAATCTATAGTTGTTTGTTTTTTTAATGCAACCAATCAGCACAGAAATTGAAACTGTGCTCCCTACCCTAAATTCTCTAGCATATTTCTCTTACCAGCTCAATTTAATGGTAGATGTAGAATTATGTTTGCTCAGTGTTATTGCTGGATAGGAAAACTACTTGATGTTTATGTATAATATTTTGGGAAATGTGGCATAAGGATTAGAGAGACAGCTTGGGAATCAGGATGACCTGAATTCAGATCCTAACTCTACTATACATTGTCCAAGCAACAGTGAGAAAGGTGCTTGACTTTCCAATACCTATAGATAACTGAAGGCCTAAAAGTTATAGACTAGTTGCTGATTTTAATCATACATCAATGAAAACACAGTCTCATTCTCTGTCTGTCTGTCTCTCTCTCTCCTCTGTCTTTGTCTCTCTGTCTCTCTGTCTCTGTCTGTCTCTCTTCTCCCCATATACATCTTTCAGATGTTGTGTGTATGGATACAGACATATGGTCTTAAGCTTTGCAAGGCCCCTCACAGCCATTATCCTGCTTGCTCTTTGTAAGCACACTGTGAAGTGGATGTCATTATCCACGTTTTACAGGGGATTACACTGTGAGTGATATTCCCCCATGGTCTTCTAGACAACAAGTGTCAGAGGTGACATTTGAACCCAAGTTGTTGCTTTGTCCACCATAACTTCTGGCCTGTTAAAGAGGGTTATTGCCAACATTGGTTATTAATCATAACATTTACACATCTTCTTCCTTCAAAACCCTGCTCAGTTATTAGTCGTCTCTTGCCTAAGGCCTTTCTTAATCCCTCCAGTTATAACTACTCTCTATCACTATTGAAATGCCTTTTAAAAACACATACAAGCTCTCTGAGTCTCAGTTTCCTCATCTATAAAATGGGGGAAATAATGAAACTTATAAAACTATTGTGAGATTCAAAGGAGATAATTAATGTACTATAATATATATATTATTTTATTATCATATATATTGATGTTAAAAATCACTTAATAAATTTATTTGGTAATGTTATCATACATTAATTATTAGGTATTATTTCAAGGTAGTGGACAGAACATTGAACATGAAGTTGGGGAGTCTTGGGTCCATATCTCATTTAGGCATTTATAAGCCAAGGGAATATCTGAGTCTCAGTTTTCTTATCTTAAGAAAGGGGTGATAATAGTACCTATTTCACAGAAGTCATTAAAAGGATAAAATAAGATAATGTATGTAAAATGCTATCTATACCTTAAAGCCCAATATAAATTGAGCCATTATTTATTTTTTCACTTATCACTTTTGATAACCTTCCACAGAGTTTGTTCTAAGAAAAACAAATGAAATTAGGCTGTGTGCCCGCGTTTTAATTTCCCTCACAAGATAGCGACATGCATTGCATGGTAGTTACTGTCCAGAGTTGCCTCAATTTGGGGGCTGAGAGTACAGAGTTATATGCCCTTTGAAGAGGAGTTGTTCCCAAGAGGTGCCAATCAACTCTGATTGGTCAATACACTGGGAGGTGGGCTACATCAAAATGGGGGTCTGGAGTACATGACTTAAGTTACTTAATCTTGGTCAAAGAGACATCAATTTCCATATCACATTTTTTGACAATACGGAGGAATTAACATTTTTCTCTGACCAGACTAGGCAACACGTTGAGTAGGAATCCACCCATTTAGATTAGATCTTAATTCCTTCTGAAGAAGAAAGTGAACTTTGGAACAGAGGGGGATGGGAGAAGTTCTGGATCTCCAAGATAATGATTTTTCATACTTTATGTATGATCATCAACCCAGACATGAGAGGATCCTCAAAGCCATTGAGTCCAAACTTCTGGGACCCAGAAAGATTAATTCATCTGCTCAAGGTTACATAATTAACAAGTGGCAGATGGAGGATTTGAATCCAGGTGCTCAGTTCCCCATCCAGCACCCTTTAAGTTGCCTCCTTTAACCATGCAGCATTCCTCAGTAGAATGTAAGGCCCTGGAGCGCAGAGATTTGTTTCTGTCTCCACAAAGCAGCTAGGTGGGGAAGTGGATAGAGCCTGGAATCTGGAAGACCTGGAGTTTAAATTTGACTTCAGATATACTTCCTAGCCATATGACTCTGGGCAAGTCACCTAACCTCTGACTGCCTCAGCTTCTTCAATTGTAAAATGGGAATAATAATAGCACCTACCTCACAAGGTTGTTGTGAGGATCAAAGGAGATAACATTTGTAAAGTGCTTAGCACAATGCCTTGCACACAATAGGTGTTTAATAAATACTAATTTCCTTTCTTCTTTTGTTTTTTTTTCCTTCCTTTCTTCCTTTGGTCCTTCTTTCCTTCCTTCCTCTTCTTCCTTTCCTCCTTTCCTTCCTTTCTTTGTTTTTCCTTCCTTTCTTCCTTTGTTCCTTCCTTCTTTCTTTCCTTCCTTTTTCCTTTCCTTTTTCTTTTCTTACTTTCCTCCCTCCATCTCCTTCTTCCTTGCTCCTTCCCTTCATTCCTTCCTCCTCCCTGTCTCCCTTCCTTTTTCTTCCTTCCTTCTTTCCTTCCTTTTTCTTCTTTCCTTCCTTCCTCCCTTCTTCCTTTCCTCCTTCCATCTCTTTCTTTCTTCCTCCTTCTCTCCCTTTCTTCCTTCCTCCCTCCCTCCCTCCCTTCCTTCTTCTTTTCTTCTTTCCTTCCTCTCTTCCTTTATTCATCCCTCTGTCCCTTCCTTCTTCCTCCTTCCTTTCTTTCCTCCCTCCCACCTTCCTTCCTTCCTTCCAAGGTGCTTTGCATGTAACATACACTTCATAAATTTATGCCAAATTGAATTCTGTCTTCTGCCTACAAATGAGGATTCAGCATTATTATTTTTTTTCCTTTTGACTAGTGGCTGTTATAAGGACAATCAAAGCAGAAATCATGTGATACCAGTGGATTATTTCCCAGAGAGAATTTTATTGTAACTGAACTGACAAAAGGCTCCTTCTAGGGGTTTGGTGGGGATTGGAGATATATCTCTTAGAGTGACCTTTATGTTGTTTCAGCATTTGTTGTAGAGAGATTTGACTTAGTATCTATTCCCTCCAGTAGTGATGAGGTCCCATGGGCCCATCATTCAGTCTCAGAAGCCGAGACCTTTGTCCCTTTCTGCCAAAAGGAATTTGGCTCCTATTTGTTTACAGACCCCGGAACACCCTTAAACTTTTAGATTCCTTATCGACTCCCCTTATCTCCCTTTGAACGCTCTAGCCCCATCTTTTGATCTTATGCAGATGCCTTTCAAACTTCCTCCTTCCAGTTCCCTTCATCATCTATTCCCATCATTTATTCAATCTCTTAGACCTTCCAATAGGAATTCTCAGCTAGAGCCTTTTCCTAGCCCCTCCTCTAGCCAACCAAAGTTACTTTAGTGTATATAAGATCCACCCTGGCCCCCATTCAAAGGCTGAGAATCTCTCATGCGTAGAGGCTGAGTTTTTCTCATGCCCACTTGTCCTTATGGGTGTCACCTAGCCTTGTGATTTATCTCTAATAAACTTTTTCCCTAGCTGGAAGAAGATTTGAGTTGAATTCATTCAGGCAGGGCCCGGCATCATGATCTTGGGGTTCCGAGCACCCCAAACCTCTGGACCTCTTCAGTAGCACTTTCTGAAAGCCAACCCATAATGGTGTGAGGGCTTTTTTTTTTCCTCCCTGAATCACCGTGGTTTCTGTGGCTGGCTTAAGTTTGTTTTTCTCAGTGTCACTGGGGGACATGTGAATGTCAGATGGACATTCTCCATTTCTACCCCTCTATTAACAGTGGCACTGATATGACTGGCAGAAACAGCACGGGCTTGGCCATTTGGGCAGGCCACTGAAAT